ATATCTATCACACAATTTTTGCCAATTCAACTTTTTACAGGTGTACAATTTACTGACAGCAATTACAATAATTGGCTATGCAACTCTACCCTTAATTAATGTGATATTTCCATCACTGTTAATGCTCCATAGGGTTTTCAATGGCTGATTTTCTAGAAGTAGATCACCAGGCCTTTCTTCTGAGGTGCTTCTGAGTGTACTCAAACTGCCAGCCTCTCAGTTTGCAGCCAAACGTGTTAACCGTTTGCACCATCCTTAGAGCCTGTGCCAGCATTTCCATTGGTATATAATACTTCCTAAAAACAGGGGCCTTATCCAGACTTTAGCACCTGGTTCAAGGTCTCTGAACTTAGTTTCAAACACAAATCTTCAGTCACTGCAAGTCAAGATGTAGCCCAAGGCCTGGCCATAGGACCTGCTTCAATGCACATTTGTTAAATGAGTGAAAGTATATGTTTATTATATTTATGTTTTTTTCAAAATATAAGGAAAATAATTAAAGTTAGGGCAGTTCCTGGAAATAGGAAGGTCTGTTACCTAAAATTTAAAAAAACCCACCTGCACTGAAACAATGCCTAGTCCTATTTTTCTAATGATACGGCTTTTCCAAACCTGTGCTTTTCCTCACTGATAAACAAAGAAGAGACATTTCATGTGAACCACACCAGGGAAGAAAGGGCCTCCTGCATTATGCTAACATCTACAGAACGGAAATCTAATGCAAGATGCATCAAACGAGGACAAAACCTCTGGAGAGCAGATCCAGACAGCATGCTGATGCCATGTGGCTTAGAGCCTGTGCCAGCATCTCCACTACAAAAATCCTATCATCCAAAGCCAAAGTAAATTGAATAAATAATAATTGTTTCCTTCTCCTATTCCAGGAAAATAATTTCAAAATTAAACTGTAGCTATAAGGGCTGGATGCCACTGACAACACTAATCAGTTTGGAACTTTTAAGGGACTCCTTCTACCCCCGATCCATTTTTCTGTCCTTTTCTGTATTTCAGCATTTTTCATATTCTTATTTTCTTTTTAGGGGGGAAAACTCTCCTAAGAGTCTTAGAATCATAAATATCAGAGTTAAAAAGGATGCTGAAAATAATCACGTCCATATCCCCTTATCTTAAAACAAACAAATAAAACTGTACCCCAGAGAAGTTATAAAAGGCAGAGCCCAAGAACTCTGGAAATAATTCATTTAATTCCATCTCCTCTCAAATTCCATTAGAGCTTTGTGTTTGTGTTATACATATACAACTGCCTTTTTATTAAAGAGGTAGGAAAATATGAAATATACTGAGCATTTGTGCTTAGGAAGCAATATATTATGGTGTCAATTTATGGAGATAAAATCTTACAGAAACACAAAGCTAGCTTTTTTTGATGGATTTGGATAATGTCATTGGATGTTAACTGTTACTGGATAATGACAGTTCCTCTGGCCACTGTCATTCAGATATTAGGAGACAACACGATCAAATTTTGGAGCTGAGAGAGATTTTAAGTGTCTTCCAGTACAACTACTTTTAAGTATGAGGTGACAAAGACCACAGTGGTTATGACTTACAAGGTCACCTACTTACAGAGGCAGAGCCTGGATTGGAACTTGGGTTTCCTGACTCCTGGCTCAAGGGTCTTTCCACCATATTGAGCTGCCTTTTCTATATTACAGCATCTGATGTATTTAACTTATAAAAATCTTAAGTGTTATGAAATATCAGTGCACGATCCACTCAGTTCTAACGCTGGGCACTGCTGTTCTCCTAGTTTTTCAGCCTCCTTCCATAGTTTAAGGGTAAGCATTTCTCTCAAAAAGGAGCCCTGGCAATGTAGTGGTTAAGCACTTGCTGCTAACCAAAAGGTCAGCGGTTCGAATCCACTCCACAGGAGAAAAATGTGGCAGACTGCTTCCATAAAGATTACAGCCTTGGAAACCCTATGGGGCAGTACTACTCTATCCTATACGGTCACTATGAGTTGGAATCAAATTAATGTCAACAGATTAAGAGGATTCCTCTCAAAGTCTACCAGGTCCATTTACTTCAAAAGGCGAGACAAAACCACCACAGTCCCGGCCTCTTATGGTAGAAGATGAATTAAGTACTGAGCAGCCAAATAGTGCTGAGGATAAAGACACAGGCATTCCTGTCCTAATGATCAGGCGAAACCCACTCTTGCTCCTTCTTGCTGCCTCTGGCCACTTGTCAGAATCCTTTGGCGAGGATGTGCTGACTGAGGACAGGGTTTGCCCCAGCTCATCCATTTAAGGGCTCACGTCTTAAACTAAAGCCTCTTGGAATCACCTCCCTTGGTGATATTGTGCTAGCATCCTCTTCTGCCACTATCCGTGAGATTTCAATTAAGTTATTTCCCTCTTTGGTCTTCAACTTGCTCATTGATAAAATGACAGAGTCCTTTCTAGCCCTATGGTCTTAGTTACACAACCTGGTAAATGTAATTAATGTCATAGAACTGTACACTCAAAAAACTACTAAAATTTTTTTGTTATATACATTTTACCACAGTAAAATTTTAAAAAATGTTATGGTCTATTTAAGGAATAGTTGTTTTCATAAAGGGGAAGAGAGGAGTGAACTCAGGTGGCCTCTTGACAAACTGTATTTGAGTCCTGCCCCTTCTGTCTCTTGTGAGCCAAGCCAGACAAACTGTGGGGGCGGGGTCACATTTTACAGTGGGTGGGGGAATACTTGAGTGGAAAGAGTTGCATGATCCCAAGAACAACAGCAGGGACCAGGGAGAGATGCATGAAAGACAGAAAAAGCAGGGAATGTGGGAGGAAGGGTTGACTCACTGCCGTATATAAGATAAGGCTCTCTTCAGGCGCAGGCTCAACCCAGTCCTAGCTTTTATCCTGCCAGGGCAAACGTCAGAGAAGTCATATAAATGCAAGGTGAAATGCTATCAATAAGTCCTTTGCTGCTTCATTACACTGATTTGGGCAGCATGGTAACAAAGATTTGCTGCAGCCTGTCCAAAGGATGGAGCGCACGGCGAAGCTATAAAAAATCCCTTCTGTGTGTTGTCCTGGAAGACTTGTCCACATGGTGGTTTCTGCCTTCACAGCAGTGAGGCATACACTTAACTGTGAAACCACCATCTGGAGCGGGAGTTATAAACTTTTACTTTCTGGCTGTTACTAAGCTTAGCCAGCCATCGTCTACCACATCCTACTGCTTAGCTCTCAACACTGCACAACTCTAGGGGGCACCGTTCACATCTGTAGTCATCATAAATCTGTATATTTATGATGACAATTTTTCTGTCAGGTGATAGTAAAAGTGTTGAAGAAAGGGCAGTAGAGGGATCATGTGGACTAATGGCAGGGCTGGCCATTTTCAAACACGCATGAAAGCACATTATCAGCACAGAGAAGGAGAACACTGAATTTATGTTTATGTTACCTATGCTCATATTAGCTAAAATGTCTGCCAGTGCTAATGCCATCACAGCTTTATTCGGGGTCCTCAGATCTTTCACTATTATTATCCAGATGAAAGACAACCTTAAAAAATTAAAAATATCAATAAATGTAAGAACCCATAAGAACAAAAATCCACATCCAGCAGTGGTCACCTACAGAAGTTGTACTGCTAGTCCAAAAAATGTCGAGAATGCAATAACCTCCCTCGGGGGCTCACTGGGGGCTTCCAGAGAACTCTGCAAAGCCTCAGAGTGGAGTCCACCCATCCTAGGAGTGGCTGCCATTATCAAAAGGGTAGACTCAATCTAGAATCCAAGACATTGCTAAATGCACTGTTCATACATAAGATACAAATTTGGATCATTTTATAAGCTAGCATGAAGAATTAGATCACCAGTAAGGATAAGAAATGAGTTCCCATCTGTGCCTCATCTAAATAGGTCACACTGGATGACTCTTTGTAGTGACAAAATGTTAATGATTTCTCCTCAGTCTCCAAACTGGACTATATTTTTTGATGTTCTCATTTTTAAAGACAGGCTTACTAAGGAATCATTTACACACAGTAAATTTCACCCTTTTAGTTCACAATTCCGTGGGTTGGAAAAACTCATACAACCGTATAATCACCACCACAAATAAGACATAAAACAATTTCATGCCCCCAAAATTTCCTTGTGCCACTTTATATCCCTAGCCCCCCATAGCCACTGATCTGATAAAACTGGACTATACTGTAATACAGATTTCCATATTGTTTAAACTTCTCCTTAAATATTTACCATATTCATTGATTCTAAAACATTTTCCCTCATCAGATGTGAACACTGAAATTAGACTGTCTTACTATCAATGGCATTTTACCATTATAACTGGTAATTTATATACTTTAAAACTAAAGTACATAAAATAACAATGCCTTATAATTGATGGTACCTTAAAAATCGATGAGGTACAACATAAAGTCTTTTATTTCATAACACTCATTGAATACTTACTATGTGTTGAGCATCCTACTAGGCCTTGGGAATACAAAAATGAACAACATGGTCCTCAGAGAACCACGTGAGAGGGGGAGACAGATAAGCAATTATAAAATCATGTGATGTCTATAACAGAGGGTTATCCACTCACTAGAACTAAATAAAATTATCTCTAGATTGTTCCTCTTTCAGGCACTTCCTCAAAATTCACATCCTTCCACGATGTCCCAGAATCTAATATAATTTACAAAGGAAATAGGGATAAAGGCAGTACCATCCAGATTCACTCTACTCATTCCAAGAATGAGCTATTGCCACATCATCTAACATATTGCCTAGGAACAATCCAATTATTTATTCCATAATATACTGCTGTAGTAGGGAAGTCTCATTTTAGTGTTCAACAGCTGTAAGGCTTTTATGATAATACCAAAAGAAGAGTCACTGAAAAGAACTATTCAATCTATGAAAGACAGATGCCCCACATCTTTCATAGACATGCTTCAAGGTCATCAAATTCTTCCCTGGAAAACTTAAAGGGAATGTAGGGAAGAAAAGTGAGCGCCCTTACCTGGTTCTTGAAAGTGTTCTTCATTTGACAGAGTTCTAGACAAGATAAGTATTAACGCTTCTTTAAACTGGTCAAAATGCACCTAAAAATAAATAATTAAAAATAAACTTAAAATAGTTTCCACAGCCCCAGAAATGCAAATCTATCTATAAGGTACCAGAACCATTTGTTCACATCCTGACAGCTTTGAAATGAGTCATAACCTGTTTTTGTTCTGTTTTTTCCTTTATTTCTCAACAGCACAGAAGGGGGAAATGGGTAGGTAATTTTTTTTGACACTTTGGTGTTATAAACACTAATATAAATATCAATATTTATTCAACCCATGAGGGGAAAAGTTATAGAGCAAAACCCTCTTTATTAACTCAGAAAAATATTTTTTAACTCTTAGCTCCTTTTATTTTTCTGAATAAGACCAGAAGAGAAAGATATTAGGTTAGATATTAGGGAAAATTTCCCAAGTAAATTAACTGTTGGAACAGTGCACTGAGGATGCTTTCATCTCTTAAGATATTCTAGAAAGGGAGCAAGCTATCATTTGAGGGTGAATTGAATATAGTCTTGCCTGAGGTGGGTATATAATATTTATATCCCAAGGCCCCTTCAATCCCCGATTCCATAAATAAGCAAAAATCAATAACAAGCACAAAGGATAAAAGAACCTTGGGAAGCATTTTCCTGAATTCTTAAATATAAAATCACCTTGACTGAGTTTTAATTAAGTAAATACTTGATCAGAACTGGGATATTACTTTTGTTTAAAGGGTAAAATGATTTTCTTAATGGCCAAGTGTATTTTTTCATAAATTTATGTGATCTCACCATGCAACAAAAGGGAGAGATAATATTTTTTTCACCTTAATTCTAGTTTGATAATATGTTACCTATTTACACAGAACCCTGATAAAGTATCTAAATACAAAGTTGGTAAATTTGTAAAATTTGCACTGAGTCTCCTTGGAAGTCATTACAAAATACTGCCTAGAAGTTTAAACACAGGTAACAGATAAAAACCACTTCCAAATTAAATCTGGAAAAGCAACAAACCTCATAAGTTATATAAACAATGGAGGGGGGAAAAATCATATAATGTCTTATCCATGCAAATCAAAGCAAAGAAGAGGAAACAATTAAGATTCATGTCAGAAAATTGTATGTGCTTGCAATTTATCCTAAGTATACATGATTTCTCTATATTAGTCTTAATTGAAATTATTTTGCAAAATCATATTTCTTTAAAAATCAACATAATCTACAGAGCCAGAGCAGAATCTGTTGAGGGAAGCAGGGTACCGGCTGAAGGGCTAGGGTGGTACAATCAATGAAAGGGTTAAAAGATTATTCAAATGTAGGCAGCCTAATTAGGTTTCACAGCTGACAATTTGCTGAGAGGCCTGGAGGAGAGTCAGAGATGGGCTTCAGACACTGTGGCATCCCAGCTCCAGTTCACCTGGGCAAGGCCACCTTCCCAACCAGCCAGTTCACAAACATCATATACCCAATAGTGCCCCCCCCCTCCACCCGCCAGTAGAGAGATTTAACAGACATCTACTAATTCCTACCAGAATCATTCTTTCTTCTTAGGAAAGGCAGTAGAGGGGCTAGGAGCTCAGGCTCTGGGCCAGGTGAGTCTAGGTTCTAATCCTGACTTTGCCACTTACTTCCTTCTGTGATTTGGCTACTCCGAGCTTTAGTCTGTCAGTCTGTAAAAAATGGGGATATCTAACAACTAATGTTTATTATTCATTCTACAAATATTTATTGAGTACCTGCTTTGAGCCAGCTACTATCCTAGGCCATGATGATACAGCAGCGAACAAAACTGACAAAAACTCCTCCATACTCCATACTCTCAGGAAATGTTACAGTGAGCCAGGTACTGTGCTAATAGCATTCCACGTATTTTATGTTATTTATGGATTTCCTGGGTGGTATAAACGGCTAATGCGTTTGGCTACTCACCGCAAGGTTAGAGGCTCAAGTCCATCTAGAGGCACCTTGAAAGAAAGGCCTGGCGATCCTCTTCTGAAAAATCAGCCATCACCCTACGGAGCACAGTTCTACTCCGACACACATGAGCCGGAATCAACTCGACAGCAACTGGTCGACTGGATATGCTATTTATAATACCACCTCCCTCATAGGGGCATTAGGAGGATGAAATGAGATTTATGTAGTGTCTAGGGTTTCCTGGAACTTAATAGGGACCTAGAAATTGGTAGTTAATAATAGTAATAGGTATAGTAATGGCCACCATCCATCTGTCAGTTTGTCATACGGTGGTAGCTTACATGTTGCTATGATGCTGGAAGCTATGCCACCGGTATCTCAAATAACAATAGGGTCAACCATGGTCAGGTTTCAGTGCAGGTTCCAGACTAAGACAGACTAGGAAAAAGGCCTGGTGATCTGCTTCCAAAAATTAGTCAATTAAAATCTTCTGGATAACAACAGAACATTGTCCAATATAGTGCTGGAAGATGAGCTTCTCAGGTTGGAAGGTACGTGGATTGACACGGTGGCTGCAACAATGGGGTCAAACATAGCAATGATTGTGAGGATGGTACAAAACTAGGCAATGTTTCATTCTGTTACACATAAGGTTGCTGTGAGTCAGAGCCTGCTTGATGGCCACTAACAACAATAGCAATGGGGGTGACCGTTCCCATAACTTTTACAGATGGCAAACTAGAAAACAGTGCCATATTTTCAAGCAAAGCAACCGGCAATAGGAATGACCAAGAAAGCCAACCGGGAGTGGGGGCAGTGGCAGCGGGGGTGGCGGGCAGGAGAGAAGTCAGGGACTGCCTTCTCCCCCAGAACCTGCATAGTTGCCCAGCTCCAGGGAAATGGATCCAGTTTGCTGTTTTTAGGGACCCCAACCCTGGGTTTCTCCTCTCTCTTGGGATATTAATGGATAGAATCTGATAAAACCTAAGTCTCCCCTTGCCAGTTATAAGTTTAACAGAAAGAAGCTTCTTTTTCAGAAGGGTGGCACTTGTCTAAAGAATTCCACATCTTCTATACTTGACCGTGGGTCTCTGCTACATCCTCTGAAGGTATACATTTTGATAAAGGCAACTGGAAAAAGCCCTTCTCCTGAATCTGGTCTCAACATAGTTCAATTTAGTGAATTTTACCCATGAAGGTTACCCAGGTCTGTGTAACTCACTTTTACCACCCATAAGACACCTATAATCTAGATATTAATTCTAATCACTTTCTAATGTTTTCTATGAGGCCTAAGTATCCCTCTATTATGGTATAACAAATGCACAAAATTTTGAGACAGTATAAATTTAATTTTTATGAAGATTGCTTATCTCACAACCTCAATTATACAGAGCAGAGCAGACAACCAGGAAACAAACAGAAGTGGTGTCAAAAGCTGAGGTAGGTGTCATGAAGTCCATGCACCCTTCTCAGAGCAAAATGCCACAAAACTAAGAATTGATTTATTCTTACTCTGCCTGATTATCATAAGCTTCATTATCCTACTTCCCAAAGCACCACAGGTTAGAAGCAGCAAATAAAACACAGGGCACTCATAAGTAACTGCTGACATATTGGGATTGAGGAAAGACATTAACCATCCTCCCCAAAACAAAAATAATTTTTTTTATACTTAAAAAATATTCAACTATTTAAAAACTACATAAACTATTAAAAAAAAGACATATGCACTCAAAAACTTAAAAAGCTGGATGTCATTTAGTGTTGGGGCAAGGATCGAATGCTGCTAAATAAATCCTGAGGTTATCACTCTGTTATAATATAGAAGAGTAACAAATGGACCAAGAAGATCTTAAATGACCAAGAACGGCCTAATTAGATTTAATTTACTCTTTGATAAGGCAAAAACTTTAAAAAAAAAGTTTCAATCCCCCATGGCTTAACTTTTTTTTTTAAGTTTGCCACTAAATAGGATAAGAGATCCAGTTATTAAAACCAAAATCCATTGCTGTGAAGTTGATTCTGACTCATAGGGTCCTGGATAATACTAAATGAATGGGAGTATTATTGTAGGCTCATCCTTTCTTATACATTTTGTCATTTGAATCTCTCAACATCCAAGTGAGACAGGCAAGGCAGGTATCCTCCCTCAGAATTGAGGGGAGAGAGGCCCAGGGAGGTATGTGTGTTGCCAAGGCCACATGTCTTGGAAGTGATGGGGTTACCTGGAGAACCCAGGCCTTCTAACTGGATTCAGCAACCCAGCAACCCTGCCTGCCCTAGACTCACTTCACTCTTAGTCTGACCTCCAGGAAAGTTCCTCTGCTGCTCCAAATCAAATCATCAACTTTATACAAAGCCTCTAGGTATAAAGCTCCCACCAGAGCTATAAGGCATGACACTGGGGCTTCGGGGGATACAAAAACAGAAAAATACACAACCTCTGTCCTCAAGGAGTTTATCACCTGTGCTTTAGATTCTAGACAGTAGAAAGGACAAATAGGCAAGAAAAGGGGAAAGTTTATTAGTAACTATAAGGGCAGAATATAGGAAGTGACCTGAGAGAGATTAAAAACAGCCTGGTAGAGGCCTCTGGTAGGCAAGCATATCTCAGTATCTCTCCGGGCTGGCAGGGAGGAAAACGCGGACAGTTTTACGACATTTGACTGCTCGAAGATACTCATAGGCAGAGGTTAAAGGTTTCCAAATGGATTATCCAGCTACATTTAGAAGAAAAAGGGTCTATAACAGACTAAACATGATACTGGTGATGGTTGCACAACACCATGAACAAAACCAATGCTACTGAACTGTACATGTAAAAAATGTTGGTAAATATTTTGTTATATATATTTTCCACAGTAAAACAATGAAGACTAATCATGATTATTAACTCAGAGGGTATGTTATCATTCTTCATAATCCAACAACATCTGTCTAGTTAACCCCACATGCTCCCACCAAAAATAAATAAATAAAAATTGAAACCCAGCAAGCTGATCAATACAATTGGAGCAGTTTTAAGTCTTAAACTGATCTTTATTTTTCTTCTTGCAAGAGCATGTAGACACTGAACCCTCCGCTTTAAACAGCAGCAAATTCTACGTCTTTCAAGAAGATAGTTCTGTA